GCTCAGACAGCACCTTCAGGCTGGACGCAGACTTCTGAGGAAACACTGAGACTCAAACCCTCTGACGGACTCTACCTCTCTCCCCCAGTGCATGCTGGGATTGGCTCTTACAGAAATATCAGATAAATATTTTTATGAAGCGTCATCTTAATGAAATCAAACCTCTGCAGAGACATTCCACATGGCGGCCATCTTGTGTTTTTGTAAATAACTTTGATAAATGTATTTATTACTTTTAGTTTAATTGGTGAGTTAAAGTATGTTGTCAAATATGTACAGTTACGTTTTGTTTTTTAGTAATAAAAGTTATATAAATCTGGCTGCAGCTTGTTTTGTTATCACAAGTTTAAGATAATTATATAATTCATTAAAACAGAATCTTTTCAGTTTACCCTTTAATCTATTTCTGTTTAAAGTTTAGCAAATGAAAATATATGAAACATGAACTCAACTCACTTTAATACTTTTTAAATGAAGCAGTTTAACTATCATCTCGACCAATGTTTGGTTTAGACGTCAGATCAGTGTACAAAGACGTCATGGCTGGTATTTATATTAATCCATAACTGGCATAGTATACTGTCTTTTCTTTAACGTATCGTATGACCTCAAATGTCAGCATCGTATTTCATGAGGTTCCATTATGTGTCGGAAGACATTTATTGAGAAGCGTTACGTCTGTGAAGAATTCATAGTCTCGTACGTCATGAAAGTGTCAGCGGGAATTCCTAAATGAATTATACAGAATGACGTAAGGTTGGTACTAGTGATGTGACCTTTCGTGTCGAGGCTTCGAAGCTTGTGTCGAGTGATCCGGGAAGATTTTTATGAAGCGCGTATCGAGGCTTGTGCCGATGACCTATGTGGTGACGTTCGAAACCTCGCGAACCAGCCGTAATACGTGACTGATTCAGGAAATGGTTCACGGGTTTGGCGTGCGATTCGAAATAAAAGGGGCAGCGAAAGTCAATGGATCCCCGGTCACATTTTGTGTACTTGGGACTTTATTGCACGTTTGTTTACAAACTACTCAAGCTTCTTTTTTCTGCGATTGAACCAGCAAGAAAGAGATTTTCCCATGTCTGGGACCATTTTGAGCCGATCTCTCATAAGCTCAGCACCATGAAGCTTCGACCCATGTGTGAACCAATTGGATGGAAAGCTTCAATGCTTCATGAAGCTTCATCTCGCCATCACTAGTTAGTACACATTAGTACACAACCTCAGACAGATGTACGTGTATGAAACCCTTTCATTCATAATAAGATGCTTTATTAATGTTTGTTTGAAGACGTTCTGCTGGTCTACAGAAGCTTCACGTGTTAGTTTGATCTGGTCATAAACGGTACATTAGTTAATAGTTTGATGTACTTCTGGAAGGTAACTGTGTTGTTTTACTTCATATCGTTACAGCCTGTACATCGATCACTGACGCTGCTCCAGCTTATAAATGATGACATCATACATATATACATTTTACAACCTGCATTAAGTGAGCGAGGCTGCGGAGAGTCCGTTAGAGGATCTTGACGTCCAGCAGCGTGACGCCTCCCAGTACCTCCAGCTGGGAGACCCGGCTCAGGTCCTGGACCCGGTGTTTGTAGTCCACCAGGTGGAGCCCGTTGACAGCGACTCTGAACTGCTGAGACTCACAAAGGATGATCATCTGCAGAGAAACAAACATTCATTATGTTGTTTATTCACACAGCGCTGATGTTACAAACTGCTCCACAGGATAAAGAACTAATACACTTATTTAAAACCACGAAAAACTTTTATTTTGAAATTAAAATGTAGACGTTGCTGAAACTGAAATAAAATCTATCACATTAACAATGTTGCCTACTATTCTATATTTTACACACACACACACACACGACTTAAATCCAAATATAAAAACCATTAGTGAAAGATATCCGTGTCTTCTGGTAAAACCTTTTAATATGTCAAAAGGAACGCTCTTAAATTCATTCGATGAGGTCACACTTAAACATTGTGATGATGTCACATATACTCACTAACATAAGCTCTTAAATATGTAACATTTCTGATTCATCAAGCTGTTAAAGTCTGTGCTGATGGATAGATGTGCATTATCAGCATAGAAGTTGATATTAATCATGTAAACACACAATATGGAGCTCTGGGGGACGCCAATGTTTACACCAACAGAAACTGAGTGTTTATTATTGTTTACAGATGTTTCTATGACAACAAAACGACCAGTCTTTGTCTTTTCATGACATCATCGTCATCATAAGGAAGCTGAAGGACATTTTACGGTGCTATACATCGAGCCTTGAAGGTGTAGATGTCGGTGGTGTTGTACCTCAAAGTATCGGCCCCCGCTGAAGGGGAAGGAGGAGCCCAGCCTCCTCTCCTCGGGGCCCCAGCACTCAGACAGGAAGGAGTTCCTGACGAAGACCCCTTTGTTCAGACGAGGGTTCAGATGAAGAGCGATGTCGCTGCTGCCGGACACTCGCAGGTTCACAGAGAAACTAAAAACACAGACGATGAACGGATACGTGTTCAGGTTACAGCAGACAAAACACACAAATATTCAACATTCTCATATTAAGGTATTCAGGAACCTTCTGACGTACAATAACGAACATCTGATTTGAACGCTTATTCACTTGTTTTGTCTCTTTTGTTAAATAACATTCAGAAAGCTAACGGGTCGTTCACCTCTCTGCGTTCTGATTGGTTTGTCCTTTGACGGTGATGCTGCGTCCAGCGCTCAGTCCGTTCAGCAGCTCTCCTCTGAAGGGAACACGCTGTGCAAACAAGACCTCATCAGAGACTACAACACCTGGACCACTGAAGTCTCTTCCTTCATCAACTCATCTCAAAACAGGAGAATTCCCCCAAAAAACTGAAGAAATTAATTACATTTTACGCATAAAATGTTACAAGTTAAAGGTCACATTGTTTATGTAGCCAAGCTGCTAAATGATTAGATCATATAAGTACTGACGGAGTTTATTTCTGCACTGAGCAAAAGACTCAGAGGACAGCCGGCTCGTTAGCCAGCTTGCTAATTCCACCGTGTTTTAATGCTACACAGGACAAGCTAACATGCTAACTAGCTAACATGCTAACTGTGGGACAGGTGGCTAGTTAGACGAGCCCATTGAACTACATGAACACTTTACTACCGAACATCTGCCTCTTATTGATCGGAGTATATTAAAAATAATTTCCTATTCATTTCTGTATAAATGTTGATATGATACGCGTTTACATCGCTGAATAGAGATTTATCACGTTTTGAGAGATAAAATAAGTGTTCTGGGAAATAGTAGTAAAGGGGCTACACACAAATACACACACACATATATATATATA